GCTTTAATAATGTGAGTATTGATTTCTGATGCTGGATCATTATCAGCTTATTGTATTATTGTACAGTTTCTAGGACAGTGTTTAAGGTCTCTGCAAATCTCCCCAAAAGGTGTGTGTGTGTGTGTGTGTGTGTGTGTGTGTAAGTGAGTGTGTGTGTGTGTAAGTGAGTGTGTGTGTGGTCCACTGACCTTACACAGGGCCTCTCCCAGCACCCAGCGGTCCATCAGGGTGTATATGACGGTAACAGGAAGACAAACCACACACATGAGGATGTCAGAGCACGACAGGTTGGCGATCAGGATGTTGGTGACGTTGCGCAACTCCTGTTGCCGGGCGATGATGAATACCAGGCCTGCGTTGCCTAGCAACCCGATTGCTATGACGGCGCTGTACGCTACAATCAGGAAAGTTGCCCCGCCTACCGACGGCGGGCACTGAGAGGTGTCTGCCCAACTGGAGGGCTCCCAGACACTGAGGAGGTTGCTGTCGTTGGACATGGCAGGGAAAGGAGAGGGAAGGGAAGGGGTGACGTGAGGGGGGACAGTGTGTCAGGGGTCAGGGTTTGACAGGACCAAAGCCCTGGGGCTGCTACTGAACTTCCCTTCCTCAGAAGCTGAGAGTGTAGAGCCAGGTCGAAGTGTAGGGGGCGGGATGAGGGAGGCGGGGCAGGAAACAGCTGCTGTACAGTACTCAGGTTTGTGCTGTGAGGAGTTCTGTAAGTAAGAGGCAGAGCAGGGAGTCTGATTCACATAGAGCTGTTGTCCTCTTTTCCCGTCGGCATCCTGGTGAATCAGCTCAGCATCAGTGTTTCCCTGCGAAGGAAAGAAAGCATAAAAACTCTGAGAATAATGAAAGACAGTGAGGTGAAGAGCTCTCAACGGAAGACAGCAAAATGAAGGAGTATTAACACGTCCTGTTCTTTCTTTTTCCTCTTCTGAACTCCACCACCCACAAAAACTCATTAACATAATCTATTGTTGGTTTAATGTCACATTATGCGGCCCAGATCACCAGGGACAGACACAGCTTTTTGTGTCTCTTACACTGAGACTAAATCAACTGTATGTGTGTCGGCTGAAATCACAGCAGAGTGAGCGCTCAATAGAAAATCTGAAAACCAACCTCAAGAGACCACTTACATCAAAGCCTCTGAACATTTACAATGTCTGGTGGACAGACAGAAGAGCTCAAAGGCTGAAGCAAGAGAGACTAAAAGCACCTTCATATAGAGACAACAGTGAAAGCAGAACTCGTGTTCCAGAAGAAAACCTTCATCCAAACACTGTTTATATTTGTAATATGTCATGTACATTACCAATAGCCGAGTGAGGCAGCAGGGGGACCATGAATGTACCAGGTTTAGGATCAGACCACATGGGTTGTATTCAAATTCATTATAACCTTTAATTACTTTGAACAATTACTGTATTTAAAAGTAATTTTGAGTTGCTTTTTAATGTCTGCTTCATCATAGTTTCTCATTCATACTTAAAAGGCTGAGCTGTCTTCAGTCAATCTCTAACTTAACCAGATTAGATTCCACGTCCTACACACTGGTCCTTTAAGTGCAGTCAATATGTATCATTATATGAGAGTTATGAATAAACACTTACATACAGATGGATGTATATTAATGAGTAACACATACTCTGATCTGCTTTCTCCTCGAGGCAAAGTCACTTTCTGCTCTGAGTGAACCGTTCGATTAAGATGCAACTTATTAACTTATTATTAAGATGCATCTTATCCCGCTGACACAATCCACATCCACTGATTACGACATTCATCAAACCCTCACTCTTATTAGCATATACATTCACGCGCATGGATACAATCAGTTGACAGCTGCCCATTCACTCTGCCATCCTCCCTCTCTGGAGAGCTCTGTCTGTCTCTCCCACTCTCAATTTCTCTCTCCTCTGACAGCCTTTATGGGACCCGAGGGATGGAGCTGCCAAAGAATGAGACACACTCACAGGTGTCATTGCACATCCACAATGACTCACTTGCACCAGCCACCCGCTTGTGATAACACTCATAAAAAATTCTCGCCATCTCCCGCTCGGTCTCTCTTGCACAAGCATGCGAGCACATTCACGCCTTATTAAAATGTCTGTTTACCTGAATAAACAGAACTGTGCAGCGCTCAAAACAGGACAACAATCTCACAGGTATACAAAACAACAACAACAAACCAGCGACATCTGTTGCTGCATTTCGCCTCATTTGTTCCTCCTCTGGTTGCAGGAACCCAACAGTGAAGGCATCACATATTTAATGTTAAATCTATTTCTATGCAGATGGAGAGAAAAGCATAAACTCTATTTTCTTTTGAAAATCCAATCTCATTCACCTCCACATGTGCAACCAGCTGTGTGTAGAGTCTGACTCTTTGAGTAAAATCACTGGAAAATAGGCAGCACTCTGCAGAAATGTTTCAAAACCCACAAAGTTTAGACCAACAGTCGAAAGTGGTGCAAGAATTCCAACCAAACATTTCCTCGTAAGACGGTTTTGTCTTTTAACTTCCTGTCTACACAGGAAGCGGGAATGTGTCGCATTGTGGCTGCAAAAGAAGCCAACACTGAAGTAACAAAACCTGCAGTTCCTCTACGGCACTAAAAGGCTGGGCTGCCAGCAGTGGTAAGTCTCTCAACAAGGCCCCATATTAAAACTTTACAGCAGAAATAAACATGTTTACAGCCTTTTGGTCTCTAGAGCTAATTTTCCTGTTCATGACAACCGTAAAACTCACCCCTTTGAATTATATTAAGGATTATAGTTTTGTATAATTAAGGGTGTGGCAGCTTTAGGTGCCAATCAGGCGTCTGCTTTGAGGAATCAGGCTTCATTCAGCTCCACCTCAGCTCCAAAAGAATAAACTAAACTTAAACTAACTGAAACAATAGCCTGTACTTACAAAACTATCTACAACGAGATAAAAATAGGAAGGAAAAAAAAGAAATGTCTTTAGTTTTTGTCAGTTTGGTCAAACACAACAAGAATGAGACTGGGATGTCTACAGGACTGTGAATCATTTGTCCTCACAAAATGTTGTGTATATATGGTAATACATATTCTGAATGTCTTAGATCTTGCCCCTGACAAATACCCCCCATAATATTGTTACAAAAAACTAATAAAAACTCACTTAAAACTAAAAACATTTTAAAATAAAAAACACTAAACTGAAACAAGCTAACCTACTCGAATTAAAAACAAAATAAAGTAAATGTAAAGCTCCACCTCTTCGACCATTTTTGGATCATTCGGGAGCCGGCGGAGTCAGAACTTCCAAGATGGCGATGGCCAGAGCCGACCACACTGAGCTTCACAGCAGCTCTTCAGGATCCTCTGGGTGCCGTCACAAAGACTGTGGACTGTTTTAATCATACTGATTGTGATTCCTGAATCACTCAAACTGAAGATGTTTTCTAAAACAACACAGGCTTTCTTGCCTTTATCATAGACTGCTCTGTTATTTATGCCAAAATGTAAGAGGATTATTAATGGCCATGCTAATAACAGCTTAAATAGTGATAAATCAATGTAAACAAAGCCAGGTCCCGCCCCAAAGAGCTAAATCATGGAGATAGAGATGATGTCAGATATTAATCACTCCATTTTGTTAAAGGTTACTGTTTTAATTTCCATGTAAACGCGATGTAAGTGGGTGATGATGAAGATAGCTCATTGATTATATTAAATACATTGTTGACACTGATGTGAGGACGGTGTTTGGACTGTGGATCTGTAGACAAACATCGATCTGACAAATTAATTCAAACCAGCACTCAAGGACATTCAAGAACATTTTGTTTTGGTACAGAAGCAGCAAGTGTTCATTTGTTGGTATCATGCAAAACTCTAAGTTATATAACGGAGTTATTACAGAGATTATGTAAGAGAATAAATTGCTGGTCAGTGTACCATATTTCTTTAAAATGAATTGAATTTGTTTTCATCAATGTTTTTGTAATGCATGCCAGATTGGATGGACATTGAAGGATTTCAATGTTTTACAACACAGCATCATATTTCCTCACCTGACCTGACACAGCTGTTACTCTTGTTTCTGT